TTGGACACAGTAGAATAACTGTAACTCGAAGTTCGTGTGTGTTCTGTGCAAAAAACCACCTTTCATGCAAACTTGTCGGGCATCAAAAGAAATCAACTCCTACTTGTAAGAATTGCCATGGGTAAGCACAGGGCTTGACCTCAGGTCTAATGACTGTCCATATTATAGGAACATAGTGGAAAACACACAGCAAAAATGTAAATTTCCAATCCCAGATCCCGACAAACAGACGCACGCCACACGCCAATCATGACTCACGAACTTCCATTCTTGCCTACAACGTAACAAGTATTCCTAATTTCACTCAAAAGAATTAATAATCACATCATCCAATGAATGCCAAATAAGGTTTATCCACAATATCACACAATCAGAACACAAACAATCAATTTAACCCATACGACAACAATAACTCCTTCCATTACCGAACATCAACCAGTTTATCACCAATCACATAGTAAACCTCATACAACTCGTTAATTCCAACAATAATAACAAAGTATTCAGACCTCCATCACCTCCAACAATTAGTAACAGTTATGGAAGATTCACATCAATACAAGCATTAACCATTCTGCAATTGGGAATCAAATGGCATCGCAAACAAAAAAAACGAATTTGAACATTTCTTACAGGCAAAAAAGATAGCATCGCATGCATCTCGAGACGCATTTGAGCCCAGCAAAACTTCACCATACAGGATTCAAAAATCATCAAGAGCGACAGAAACGAAAATTATGGAGGCGGTGTCATTAATTTTGATTAAGTTTAGTTTATTCAACACCACCAAATACACCTGGCCACTCACTCCAGGTATGAAACAATCGGGAATAAATATAATATATAATCAATAATCAACACACGTAACTGTATGTCGCGACGTATAAACCACGCCCAACAATAACAGAAATAAAACTAACCTTTATCAATAATTACTACAATTGACCATTCTTTCTCATAGTAGGAGATCTAAATGCAAAGCAATTCTGCTTGGGGTGTCGGAAACCAACCAACCCTGCCGTGATTTACTTAAACCAGAATACAAAACACAATGCAGCTTAAAACTACTTACGCCCACAAGAACCAACCCATTTCCCATATGATCCAATAAACCCAGATTATTAGATTTAGCAATAACAAACTTGAAAGACGCCATTTTACTCCTCAGTTCATCATGAATTAGACTCAGACCATAGGAAACATCCCTGTTGTTATAAAACCGAATTAGCAAAATCTCCATCCCCCCTCCTCCCACGCTAATACTACATATAAAACTGGAATTAATTTTACAACTCTGTTGAAAAATCAATCCAAAATTTCAAAAATCCTCAATTGTCCCATTGACATTATCAAGCAATTAAACTAAATTAAATAATATAATAATCCAAAACAATCAATGACTCTCAATATACAAAGTTTTTACTGTAAACTGAACATTGTACATCAACAAACAATTAAATAAATTTATATATAAAAAAACAGGTGTTTGCTTAAAAATACGGAAAACTGTAATAGCTAGACGGCCAAGACGAGAAATAACTCCTGATCTGGCCGTGAACCACCGCTCGGCGACGGATCAATTGCGAGTCAAATTTGATCCGAGTCAGGCACGTTGATTCGTGTCAAGCAGGGCCGGATTTACCTACAAGCAAAACAAGCAGTTGCTTGGGGGCCCCGCGTTTCGGAAAAATATGCATACCATATTTATTTTTTGTCTGTAAAATAATTGTTAATCAAGTAGTCTACTATGTATCAAAATGTACAATTTCAATATCCTGAGTATGGAGCATGATAATCAGAGAAATCTTCGTTTAGACATCATCGACCAATTTTCTGCAGTGTTGAGCAGAAAAAAAATTATGTAAAATATATTTAATGTAAAAAAATGTAACACAAGTAAAAATTTCTATAAAAATTATCAGTTTTCATTTGTATCTGTACAGAAAGTACTTGTACTATAATACATTTTTTATTTAATAAAGATGGAGCTATTTTTCGGGGGGGGGGACAACACAATTTTGTGCTTGGGGCCCCGCACTACTCAAATCCAGCTCTGGTGTCAAGTGCGTGGAGAAACGTACAACGGCATCAAACTGAAGTTGATCCGGATCAACTCGGGATCATCTTCTTGATTCCGTTTGGTGAAACTGGCCCTAAGGGTTTTCGTATAGAAAGCAATTTCAATTAATAGAATGAATGCTTATCTGCCATCATTTCTTCATTACGTCATTTTGAAGGCCAACTACAATACAACAAATACAAGGAAATTCTTACCTCATAAGATAATACTTGTTGAAACATGGAGCTATGAATCCAGACATCTTTTGTAGAACTTTTGTCATTTACATCTGTAAGCTGATTTCTCAGACGCTCAAAAAGAGTTCTGAGTTTCAGAGGGTGAATGTGTTGCAACCTGATTTGAAGAGCTGCCTGTGCTTATGTGTCAACATTAAGCACAGGCCAGTAGTTCATATGAATATGAGCAAAAAATAATTGTAGTACCCAAGGAGTTTTATTGATTTTCATAATTGTTGGCTCGTGTTCGCCATTTACGTTTACGCTGCCGTGTACCGTGGCCATGTTTTTGAACAAAACTGGATATTATATTCATACAGCTGGTGGCTTGATTGAATAGAACACACAAGCACTTGATACTATTAACGTACTCTAGTACGAGGCACGCGATGCTTGCCTCACAAACTTTTACTCGACAGTTTCACCGATTACGCGGAAAACGAGGAAATGCCTCGCGCAGAAGTAGACGCTGCTTGTCGTGTCGTGAAACGACCGGTTTGAATTGGCGACCGCCCAGAAGTGAATTTAATGACCCAATTTTCTCGAAGGTTTTTTTCTTCTTTTTTTTCGAAAAAATGGACCTGCCATTCATTATGAAAGTCAATACAGAATTTGGGGTAATCTTGTAACGGAAGCTTTTGACATTCTATATATTGCATTCATTTCAAGTAGCAATTACGCGAAAACTACTTGTTACTCAAAAAATTGTACTTGACCTTTTTTAATGGACTCATTTTTTAAAACAGATTTTGGTTATGGAAAGAGTCTCTATCTTCAATTCTGTAGTTTTCAAATGTAATTTTTTTGTAAATTTTCAAAAATATGGAGAGTTTAACGAGAATTCTTGACTTGCACCATTTTTTTAAACGTTTCTTGTTCTATCTGTGGAAAGATATTCAAGAAAATTTGGAGCAGTAGATACGTGAGAAAATAATTATTTTTAAAATTGCATAAATTTCAAGAAAAAATTACGCACAAACTTTTTTTTTTCAAAAATTGTACGTGATATTTTTGAAGAGCTATTTGAAACAAAAATCTCTATTTCCTGTTTCGAAAATTTGCCATGTTAGAATTTTGCAATTTTCAAAATTATAGAGTTTACTGGAAATAAGAAAAGCACAGTTTTCACCGTCCATTGATACATTCAAGAACAAAATTTAAAGAAAAAATATGTACTCTTTTTTGAAGAAACAAATGAAAAAATTCAAAATTACCTATATTTCACGCAAAATTATCGGAAAAGAACTCGAATTTTCGAGAAATTGTACATGACCTTATTCCAAAATATACTTTTAAGGGGCCAATTTTTTAAGGAAAAAATATCTATCTTTAATATTTTAGTTGTAGGAAGGCACCGAAAAAATTGAAATTTTACAATTTTTGAAAAATTAGGGATATCAATAAAAAATAAAACCTTCATCAACCACTTACATTACCTTTGTGTTATCAATCATTTTGTCAAAAAGGAGCCATTTTATTCACATTTGAAAATGTTCTAAGAGCTTCATGTAAAGTACTCCTACAATTAATATATAGGTTTGAAATTCAAAAACATCCATTTTGGAGAAAATCAGCTGAACGTATAGATGCTAGTGTTGACCACCGACGGCTGTAGGAGTTTTTCTGTCGAAAATCCACCGTTTTTCCCGCTGCATTACAATACTTTTTATGCTGCGTAAGTAGTAGCGAGGAAGAAAAAAATAGCATGTTCTCCTACTCTACTGAAACATTATTTCACCTTTTCTTTACATAAGCATTACTTACTCTCATTTGAAGTCTAAAGAACAAGGTCTTGAAGTTCGGAGTTACTGAATGGGCCAAGAAATAATACAATTGATGTTAACGTCGTCCAAAGTTCTCGGTTTCTTAGTAAGAAGTTGCAAAAGTAATTATATTTTGTTATTTGAATTTAAAACATCTTGGTCATGTTTTATGATTTTAGTCTGCCTTACGACTTCAAACATCACATTACTTCACGTCATTGAATTTCAGAACAGTACATTCTTCAGATTTTGTTGCACATTTATATATATATATATATATATATATATATATATATATATAGTTTGATAATAAAGAAGACATTTCCCAATTGTTTAAATCAACCAAAATGTAACTACTATTGTGAAAAGGTAAATTAATAATATCACATAAAGTTTTTACTGTTCTTTTACTAAATAAATCAAATGAAATAAATATTTTGCAAATGCCAACACTTGCCAAAGATTATTTTAATAATTTTAATTTCAATAAATCAACAACTCAATCTGATTCGAGGGTACTACAACTTAAAGGGTATATTTACATTATTCATAAATAAGGAATGCGGTACTACGTTAAAAATCACGACAAAAAGTAGGTTTTGCAGCTTTTCTACTTCTTATTATACCAGTTCCAAGTAATTCTTGGAGGCGTTTGTTGCAACTTTAAATGAATATCCGTAAACATTTTAGTGTGCAAAAACACTGAGCGACACGAAATAGTTTTACATTAAATTTAATTTATTTTTTAAACTTTTGTTACCAAGATTTTTCATATTTTTCTTAACCGTACGATCTTATCTCTACATTTCATTTCTTATCTTTTCATGTAACAAATTTGAAGTGCAGTAAAATGACTCAATTTAAAAGTTTTTTTTTTATTTTTGTGTGGTTCAGAAGTTTCATAGATCCCGCCAATAATGTACGTGTCTTTCACTTGTTTCCAGAGAGTCGCTTTGACGATTTCTACTTGCTCTTTGACTGCTAGCGTCATTGCAAGCCATTGAATCTTGTCTGTAGTTTCAGTTCCCATCAGTTGTTTTGAGAGTCTTGTTTCGCTTCTTCTGAAAGATCGAAGACACATATGTCTTCTTTATTGACAAATAGTCGCTCCTTGGAATTGAAGTATGTGCTAATCATCTTGATTTCTGTGTAGTGAGATTTTTGTACTTATGGTACGAAAGTTACCTGGAGTGTAGGTTAAATTTATTCATTTTGCTTCGTTTTGGGACTTTAAAGAGCCTGAGTTACCACCGATTGTGTATTGACCACGTCTCGATAAGTACAGATAAAAATGGCTGTGCCGGCGACGCCTTCGGTAGAACTAAGTTCATACCGCGATCAGCACTTCAAGGTAAGAAAAACGAAGAGAGAGACCAGATAGTTAGCTGTTGACATCTCGTTGTGTGGGTATCGACAACCTGTTCAAATAGTCAAGTTATTTGAACGCCGCCACTTAAGGAGTAACCATGGAGATGTGCAATTCTAATATTACTTCCTTAATTTTTTAGGGCACCAGAGGGGAACAAGAACGTTTGTTGTTGAATTCAACAACATTGTATGTTGGTAACCTCTCTTTCTATACTACTGAAGAACAAATCTATGAACTGTTTGCAAAGTGCGGTGATGTCAAGAGAGTAGTAATGGGTTTAGACAAATATAAAAAGACACCTTGTGGATTTTGCTTTGTGGAGTATCCTTTTTACCAACCAATGTTTTGTAGATTAAGTGAATCATTGATGTGAAGAAAATGAGGAAACTTCCTCCAGTTAATTGATTTGATTAAGAATTATCATTTGCTTGATTTCTTGACTGCCTTGATTTACATGATGGAATGTTCTTGAGTTCAATATGTAATTATACAAAATATTTGTACATTATTATTCAAAACTGTGTTGTGGAATAGTACTGAAACTCAAAAACATTACATTATAGTGATAATTATGTTTTTTATTATTATGCGATGTGTAGGTTTTTATATAATAAAGAAAGGTAGGTTTATTTATAAAAAGAAATAGATTCTCTTCTGTGAGAAGAAGAATTAAGTTTATCATAGTATTTGGGTCATACTCTCTAACCAAATGGAATATTCATAAAAATTAATACAGAATTAAGTTAATTATGTTATGCTTTCAAAATTCTTTTAAAGTCTGTTAGCCTGTGTGTGGGTTTTGTGAAAGTACATTACCACCTGAGATATGGCATACTAATCTGAGAAAACACATACTACCCAGACTTTCTAATTGCAGATAAGTGTGGTTAACAAATTAGTCATCCATGTGATTCCTGTAAGCCACTCTTTATTGAGTTAGGAATACCGTCTTTGATTTGCCTCTTCTTTCAACACATTTAGGTGTAAATAATGATCTCAGACATTCACATTTCTTGGGGAAAATTCAATGTTATACCACTTCTCAGAAACAAGCTATATATGCTCTACTGAGAGTGGATTACCCTGCCATTTATTTTCTCTTGAATCCACTTGGCTACTGTCTGTCCTTAAAACTCAGTAGTCTACAATTCACTTTAAAATGCTAAATACCATTATTTATATAAATCAGTGGATTTTGTCAACGCTCACTTGCTCAACAGTGAAGACCTATTTTAATGCAGTTTAGATATCTTTAGATATAACTAGTTTGAGGCGTTGATTTTACCTAAATTGGAAGGCAAAAAGGCACTTATTCTGATGGATGTAAGGGTGCAAAATGGCCTTAAATCATGAAAAATAATCATTTAAAAGGAATGTTAGTAAATAATTAATAACTTCACATTATAACTCTAAAATTTACATTAGTACGTAATGTGTAAAGAAACAATCTTTTCTTTGTAATCTTGATTCCAAAAGGCCAACTGGTGTGATGGCTACGAATTTGTTTTACTTATGACTGTCTCTATGAAATGCTATTGTGAACTCCCTTTTGAATGTTGAAATAGCATCAGTGAAATTGGAATTAGTTTTCTTTTACTTTCTTCTCACTTGTGTAATCTTCAGCACCAGGCATACTCAAATGTAGGAAGGGATTCCTCACGAATGCAAAAAGCCTGACTGCATCATTCAAAAATCTCCTCTGGTATAGTCTTCCTTTCTCATTTAAATTTTTTACTGGTCCTGGAGCCTATGCCTCCAGAGAAAGACAAAACATGATCGTGCTCTTATGCTGTCCAGGCTTGCAGGTATATTTCCAGCTTGAATGAGGTCCATGCAAGGAGAAAAAAAGGAAAATGACAAAAGGGAAAGAAAAAGGCAAAATATCAAAAATAGGCATCAGAAGCTAAAATAGGCAAGATACAAATCTATCAAACAACTCTGAAAGTACAATTAAGTGATTTTATTGTTAAGTCATAAAATCGTAACAATAAGAAAAGCATATTGCCCAACTTCTTCCAGGCTCGTATCATAACATCAGATGTAAGAGGCATATTCATCATGTCTTTATCAACAGCTCAATTCAGAATAGCCTCATAAAACAAAAGACTATGATTTTGTGACATAGGTCTCTGTGTGTGTCTGGTTCCATTTGTGTTAAAGGAAATTCAGTGGTATACAGGTTCTGTTTTGTTTTTGTGGTCAGGGGTTGCTTTATTTTATTTTGTACACTTTTATCCCTGACTTTTTTACATAATTATGCTCTGGACACCTAACTAAAGTTCTGTACACGTCTTGTGGGTGTCACCCTACACCAGAAAAGCCAAAATAGAATAGTTTTGAAGTGAAAAAGGAAATGTTTACCTACATTTTTTAAGAGAATGTTTTATAAAAAATTTACAAAAATCCAAAGATTTGCTATCTAAAAATTTAAATGGTCATGAAAGATACATTTTAATTGACACTTGCCAATGTATTATGAAAGACATTGTATTGCATATGTGGACTGTAGTAGCATATACTTCTTCCTAATATAAGAGAACAGAGATTTGCAGCCTAATTACAACACACATGCACACATAGCATTTTGATCACATTCCATCTACAAATGGGGAAGATAAGGAAATAGTCGCACATTTGCAGATGTGAGTCACATCAAGTAAAAATTGTTTCCCAAGTGCAACACTACATTCTTTTTACATCACTTAAATAGATGACATTAAATAATTCAAATTATTACTCAAATTTAAGCAGTAGGAAAAATATATCATTTTACTGTTAACTTGGTTTTAAACAATTAGAAACTAAACTGAGCTTAAAAAGCAATGTTTATTTTGTAATAATAATTTTTATGTATTAGTTAACTTTTGTATTCTATAATTTCAAAAGAATGGAAATGTCAGTAACAATAAACTATTGTAATTAGCTTCTGAGTCGGTGACTCCATCTTCTTTTGTTTTTGTTGTTGTTTTTATTTACAAATTTTCATTATTTTTTACTAGAAATATTTAAAAAGCGTTATTCCTTGACTTAAGTAATAGATACTACCAACGAGCAGATGCAGAAGCATGTATGCGGTACATAAATGGAACACGCCTAGATGACCGTATTATCCGAACAGATTGGGATGCTGGTTTTGTGGAAGGTCGCCAGTATGGCCGTGGAAAAACTGGTGGTCAAGTACGTTACTACCTTCTCATGTAAATTGTATAGTTAGTCATGTGAATGTTGTGTTATAAACTAATTATTATATTATTATTTTTCAGGTAAGAGATGAATATCGCACTGACTATGATAGCGGACGAGGTGGTTATGGCAAATTATTGCAGCAAAAAGTGCAAGATGTGAATGTGTTCAAAAGAACGTGATGTTGCTCATAGTGATACGAATTCATTCATAATTTGTTTTATGTTGATTGACTGTACAATCTGAGACAAACTTTCTGAAGAAAAGCTAGAAACATTTTGCATCTTTAGCAAGATAATCATCTTTTTAAGTCTGGTCTCCAGAATTAAGTCGACTGAGAAAGTGAAATTTTTAAGGAACATTGAGTGAATGTTTCATGTGCTGTCCTTTATATTGGATTAAGTATGAGAAATACTTTGTGGGGGAAATTTTCATCCTCTCATTGCAACTATGTAATTCTGTGCTGTTATAAGTCCAAAATTGCTCTCAGTCCATGAATTACTTCAATGCAATATATTTTTTGTTACAATAAAAGTTCTTGAAAGAATATATGTGCCTTGTGTGTGTATGTATTTGACTACCTTTAATCTGAAGATTGGCATAGAAATAGTTTTGGAATTACATTTCTAAAATTCAAACTAAAAGTTTTGTAAAGAACATTCTAAATCGTTTCTGATGATGTAGTACTATTTAAAAAGCCCTTTCATTTCAGCTTTGCTATTGCAAATGCTCTATTGCAGTAAAAAATCTCTTGGCAAAATGTCCATAGTATCATCTCGAGTGAGAGTACTTTTCTTTTACTCAGTGATGTAAAAGTTACCCCGCTTTATTATTTTAAACAAATGAAATCTTAATTCAAATTTCAAAAATTACTCTCCAAAATTATATTTCGAAGTTTCGATTGTCTCAAAGAATAATTGTTTATCCTCTTACTCCCACTATCATTCTTCATTGATCATGTACTATATTTTTTAACATCTGACAATTATATAATTATAATAAAGTATAACTTTGTGAGGTGTAATTTACTGGAAATCATAATGCTGGATAGTTTGTTTGTGTGCTGTAGCAAAGCGTTTGAAGCACAGCCACCTCAGACACATCCGGTCAAATTGCCATCTCCAGTGTTAAGAGAATCTGAATGATGAACGTTTTTTAATCAACCTACTTTACTTATAAAAACACATATCAGATTTTTATTAAAGTTTTCTTACCTTTATTCTCCTCCTTTCCTTATTGCATTAAAAAGTTCTGGTGCTCTAACTTGCGTAATATTTCTGTGATTAATCCAAACTTTGACTATGAATTCTAGTGGAAACCTCAAAAGCTTTCATTTTTGTTTGTGCCTCTTTTTATCTCCATTAAGCATTAAATTAAAAGGTTAAGGGCTATGCTACAAGAATCATGCCAGCAAACTTGATGGATTCTTATAAAGAATTTTTAATTTATATTGAATATAAAAATAATTTTTATTAGTTGACTTTGTTAATATTTATAATATTAACAATTGATATACGGAATGACTTTTGTTAGTACAGAAAATAAGTAAAGTTATATTTTTGAATATGTATCATTAACTTTGGTGGGTGCAAAGTCCCCCCAAACACTGGGCATGTGTCAATCATATCCCAGTATCCAATTTAGGAGTGTGATTTTAATTTTCATACTCAACACGTTAAAAAAAATTAAATGCTTAAAAATATTAAATTTTGATAAATATAATGCAAAATAAATACCAATCACAAAGTATGAACTTTACACTGATTTGAACTTAAAAACTGCAACTTGAAAATTTGCACTAGTTGACATTTATTTTCATCCTTTAATAATACTTTATGGTTTTATTTGCTATAATCTAATTATAAAAATAACTTCTTAGCAACAAGTATAAATAAACTATAAAAATATGTATTTTATCTTCTCTAGAGTTTGAGTGTCCTGTACTAAATAGCTAAAATGCTGAGATGCAACCATATTATATATATATATATATATATATATATATATATATGATATATATATAATTATATAATACTAAAAATGAATCGCAAAATGTGTTGGTAAGTCGCATACTCAACAACTCGCCTGACCAATTTTCGGCAATTGTTTTTAAAATGTTTGTTGAGTTCAAGGATCTGTTTTTTACGTCGCAGCAAAATCGAATAATTGCCGAAAAAAACTAAAAACAGCCTTTTTCTTTTTCCCATACAACGTTTTCTAACTAACAACCGTAGAGTCAATTTGAGCTTATAGCTGTTGTTATGAAAGCACTCATTTTGTTAGTAGCACAAAGGCAGTCAATTGTTGTAAGTATTTCCTAACGTCAAAGAGTCGATTTCTAGGGTTGACGACCTCTCCGGTTTTAAAACCGGAGACTCCGTCTTTTTGAGCTTCATCTCCGGTCTAGCCGGGTTTATTGAAAAATGTTCCTCGTTTTTTGTTTCAATTCTCATACATTTTCAATTTTTTACAAACATAATTAGATTTTTTTCAACTTAAATTTAAGCTTTTTCTATTCATCAGAAATCTGCCCTTTCCTTCTTCCATTAGAAGATAAAGGAGCAGAACATGAAAATTGGTGTGCGATTTCTCGTGTATCCCATCTCTTTCTTTCTACGCCATATCAGACAGAGACAGCATCTAGCGATATGCGAGAATTCGCAATCGCGCAAGACGATTTCAAGATAATCCCGGGAATGCTATTCCGATATCTCATTTTGAACAAGATCGAAATTTTCGTATTTCGTATCCAAGGCTTGATATTAGCTATATAAATACATTTTGATAATAATGGTTAAAAACGAATAATTAAATACAGGTAAGGTTTTACATAACAAATTTGTTTTACATATCTCTATAACCAAAATATTAATCATAATTCTTTGTTAGAAAATAACAGACGTTAGACTATATTTATTGAGCGAACACACAGTTTAAAGAAATTCCGAAAAGTTGGTGTAATCTGTATACTACAAACGAATTAACTAGAAGGTATGTTAAACACACATAATAGATAATTTAGTATAAAATGTTTAGCAAAATATCTTCTCTTATTTTTTTTTTCATATTGAATAATAAATAGATGAAGTAGTTAATTATAAATTAACACTCTCACTCCATAACACTTTATTTGGCAATGAATATTTAATTACCCCCCCCCCCCGGTCGCAGAGTCTCCGTTTTCCTGAAATTGGGCAAGGTGGCAATCCTACAATTGCACTTTAATTACCGTTATACATCAAAGTTCAAATTCACATCATATCTATAAAACCGTGTGCGTCGTGTGGCGTGGAGCACAGAATACAATGGTTGGAGGATTTAATGTCGCGTTCCGAAAGTATTATAATATAGATATGCCTCCTAATTAGACGAGAAGCAAGTTGGTAGAAGAACCCTAAATGCTACAAACCAAGCTAATTACCTATCTCTAATCATGCTGTAACAAAACGTTGACACCGAAATGTACGTGAAAGAAATTCGGATATCATGAACGCGTGAAGCGCGAGCGCTACATCAACTAATAATCGCGCAATGTTGAAATCGGGCTGTTTCAGTTACGATGTGTCAATTGACTACAGTAACTACGCAAGTGTTGTTATTGGTTCTGATGAACTCGTATTGCTCATATTGTAAAGACATTGAATAATACAAAACGAAAGCTAATGGATTGTGTTGCGCGAAATGTAAAGTGAAATGATACAGCATTGGAACCACCGCCCAGAAACCATTGTACTCATTTTACCCATACACTTTTTGACAATACCAAAACATATAACTAAATTGCATTCAAATGACCTCATTTGGGTCAAACAAATGATAGTTTCCGGGAAATTTTATGCCAACTTTAAGGTTATGTATATATACAGTTAAATCATAATTGTTTTATGTTCTAGGTCGCCATAGTTAAGATGTGTTTCTAATCTTCAATTTCTTAATCATTAAGATCAATAATCACTCACTTGAGTCAAGAATATTACAACGAAGGATTGATTTCAACTGAGGACATGGTTGCTTGATGTAGTGTCAAACAAACTTTATTGTCAATTAGCTGGCCGCGCCCAATCGTCGCAATGCATGAGCTTTTAACCAAGATTGAATGGAAAAACTGTATGATCTCAACCTTTGAAAAGAATTAATTCAAAGCAAATTCTTGAACTGTTGAATGAACAACAGAAGTGATGTATTTAATACTCTTATGAAGTATCAAATGATGAAACCTGGAGGATTTGACTTCTTAGATGCACCTGGTGTACAGGAAAAACTTTTTTGGATTTCATTAATATTAGAACCGATTTGCTCACAAAAAAACATTGCCTTGCACTCCCTTCGTCGGGAATCGCAGCAACTTTGCTTGAAGGTCTGGGTCGAACAGGCAACATTTCAGCATTAAAATTTGCGCCTATTAAATATTGGCAAAGCAATGAAACTCCGACTGCAACATTTGAAGACTCTGACGAATGGCAAAGTCTTGCAGCAATTAAATGAATTAATTTGGGATTATGCACGATGGCAATAAAAAATCTTGAGCTTTAGACGAACCTTAAAAGATCTACGAGCAATCATAACAAATTTGGTGGTGCAATAATTTATTAGCGAGGAGATTTTTCGTCAAATCATTCGCATGATTCACGATCAACACCAGCTGATGAATCAAATGCAAATGTCTAAAGTCCTTTCAATTTGTGGAAAAATGTCAGAGTAGTTTATTTAAGGAAGAATATGCGTGTCAAGTTGCAAAGATGATCTAATCTGGAAACATATTCTCTAAACAACTTATTGACATTGTAATGGCAAAATTTCCTATAGACATGTTGATGGCTGTCATTAACTTTCCTCATAAAGTTTACAGAAACCATAGTGGTTGATGCGAACGAGCTATATTGCGGCTGCCAAAAAACATTGATGTAAATGAATGAAAGGTTTAAAATTCGAAGAACAAATTACAGGCGAATCAAAGATATTATAAATCCAGTTGATTTGCTACTACCAAGATGATGTAGTGACTATCCACCAGAATTTTTAAACTCCTAGGATTTAACCCGGTTTGCCACATACAATCTTCAATCAAAGTTGGATCGGCTAGTATGATTGCGAAAAATATCAACCAACACGTTTTGCCAGTCGCACACGGTTAGCGATAAAAAAAAATGTACTAAACACGTCGGTGTAAAGCAATTATCACTGAAAGGAAAAGATATAAAGGAGAGGACACGTTCTCATACCGCGCATTCCAATATTATCTCGACTGATGTTGGCCGTTTAACTTTAAACGACTTAACAGTTTCCAGTTCGGCTTGCTTTTGCTATGACGCAATAAACAAGTCCGGGCAAACATTTAGTGTTTGTGTAAGAATCTGGAAAACTCATGTTTCTTCACATGGTCAATTGTATGTTGCCTGTTCCCGTGTTGGAAAATCATCAATCTGTTTTTCTATGTGCCAAGTAATCAAACAAAAAACATCGTATATCACAAAGCAATACAATGAAAATAGAACTGATTTTTGTTAATAATTATGAACAAAAAGCCTCCCCCTTCAGTATGAAGGAGAAA